CAGTCAAAAGAATCTCATGGTCGTTTGCTATTCGTGCCCACGCTTACAGACCTCCCAGATTTATTCCTGCCAACTTCAGCCTGGAAAGGGCTTTCTCCTATTCTGTCCCCATTTACTGAAGAATTTTTTTTTTTTTTTGGTGAGGAAGATTAGCCCTGAGCTAACATCTGTTCCCAATCCTCCTCTTTTTCCTGAGGAAAATTGGCCCTGAGCTAACATCTGTGCCCATCTTCCTCTACTTTATATGTGGGAAGCCTGCCACAGCATGGCTTGATAAGTGGTGCGTAGGTCCACGTCTGGCATCCAAACCTGTGAACCCTGGGTTGCCAAAGCGAAGTGCACGAACTTAACCACTACACCACCAGACCAGCCCCTAAATAATACTTTAAAAAGGAAAAATATAAGCTCACTTCACTTATGAACACTGATTCAAGCATTCTAAACAAAATACTAGAAAACCAAATCCAGAAATTTATAAAAAAAAGAATTGTGACCAAATGTGTTTATGCACATAAAGTGTGTATGTCAACACAACAGACTGAAGATAAAACTCAACTATATCAATGGATAACAGGAAATTCACTGAATAAAATTAAACATTCATAATAAAGATACTTAGCAAGCTAGGAAGAGAAAGAAACTTCATTAAGCTAAAATTTAAAAATTTAAAGCAAACATCACACCTAAAAGTGTATTATTTAAAACATTCCTTTAAAATCAGGAATAAGAGCAAGATGCCCACGATCACCACTTCTATTCGATACTCTCTGGAGGTCCTGGCTACTGCAGTGAGAAAAAAAATAAAATAAAATAGCTTATGAGGATTGGAAAGGAAGAAACAAAACAATCCTCTGCGTGGGGGATATATGACTGTCAACAGAGAAAACCAGTATCAATCAACAAATTTTTTAATTGAGTTTTAGCAAGTTTCCTAGAAACAAAAATAAATAATTCTATAAAAGGAATCCAAATAGGCAATGAAGAAGTGAAACTCTCGCTGTTTGCAGATGACATGATCTTACACATACAAAACTCTAAAGAATCCATTGGAAAACTATTAGAAATAATAAACAATTACAGCAAAGTTGCTGGGTACAAAATCACTTACAAAAACCAGGTGCATTTCTATACTCTAATAACGAACTAACAGAAAAAGAACTCAAGAATACAATCCCATTTACAATCGCAACAAAAAGAATAAAATATCTAGGAATGAATTTAATCAAGGAGGTGAAAGACCTATATAGTGAAAACTATAAGACATTATTGAAAGAAATCAATGATGACATAAAGAAATGGAAAGATATCCCATGCACATGGACTGGAAGAATAAACATAGTTAAAATGTCCATACTATCTAAAGCAATCTACAGATTCAATGCAATCCCAATCAGAATCCCAATGACATTCTTCACAGAAATAGAACAAAGAATCCCAAAATTCATATGGGGCAACAAGACTCCGAATAGCTAAAGCAATCCTGAGAAAAAAGAACAAAGCGGGAGGCATCACAATCCCTGACTTCAAAATATACTACAAAGCTATAATAATCAAAACAGCATGGTACTAATACAAAAACAGACACACAGATCAATGGAACATAATTGAAAGCCCAGAAATAAAACCACACATCTACAAACAGCTAATCTTCGACAAAGGAGCTAAGAATATACAATGGAGAAAGGAAAGTCTCTTCAATAAATGCTGCTGGGAAAAGTGGACGGCCACATGCAAAAGAATGAAAGTGGACCATCTGCTATCGCCATTCACAAAAATTAACTCAAAATGGATCAAAGACTTGCAAGTGAGACCTGAAACTATAAAACTCCTAGAAGAAAATATAGACAGTACACTCTTTGACACTGGACAAAGAGGGATCTTTTCGAATTCCATGTCTACCTGGACAAGGGAAACGAAAGAAAAAATAAACAAGTGGGACTTCATCAGACTAAAGAGCTTCTGCAAGGCAAATGAAACCAGGATCAAAATTAAAAGACAACCCAGCAGCTGGGAGAAAATATTTGCCAATTTTATATATCCAACAAGGGGTTAATCTCCACAATATATGA